AAACTACTCCTTAACATAACCCTCAAGTGGATCCCGTGCCTTGTACAGGGTGAACCTTACTGTAAAAAATTCCCTGAAGCTTACCCGAATCAACAAATGCTCGACGGCCAGCTGGCACTGGCTGAAATATAAAAATAACAATGAAGACATTAGACCTAATGTAATTTTCACAAAGTTATTTATTTCAAACTGATCCTAATTTTTTCTTTGTCAACTTGGGTGACCCAAGAACTGTGACCTAGTATTGGGTGTGTCATAATTGATTGGGCTGCTATGCCACAATCTGAGATTGGTTGACAGGTATTATGGAGATGGATAGATTTACAGATAGGCGTTTAGTTGTTTGTGCATTGATACTATTTCTTTGTATGTGTAATGGGAGAATACAATATATGAATGTATATATCAGAACAACGTTAGGGAAATAAATGACAAATTGTAAAATTTCTGTGTAACATATTTCATCTACAAGAACTTCATTGGAACATGTATACCTTGCATAATTCATTATCACTTGGAATACGGGTAGGCAGAGCTTGTTAGATTTGGTTAGTATTCTGTCTGGCAGCGACCACAACTGAAGTAGATAGGTCTTAGTCACATATTGATGATGACCCTTCAAGGGGCCAACAGCTTCATACTTGTAATGACGGCTAGTATGTTGCAGGTTGTTAGTTTACTACCAAGTAATGGTTAGAAGATTTTGGACCCACTGTCCTCCCCCATGAGCATCATGGGTTAGGATGTGCAGATGGTGTAATAGAGAATGGTTTGGAATGAGAAATTTGAATTCCAGTTGAGTTCATTACATTCACTTAGCTGCAAATACCCTTGGGAAAGGTATGAATACATCTCTCACCCTCAGCTATGGGTTAAATAGTAGGGCTCACTAGCTGTTGTTGGCAACCAATCTATGAGAAGGATAACTTTAAATTCAAAATCAGAACAGTTGTCCATCATCAATGACCCTCAGTAAGAAGTATAAGTGTGTGTGTGTATATATATATATATATGGCAGAAGTTTTTTGTTTTATTCAATTGGAGGTGGCGGGGGTAGTCCTCTGACGATTTTTCTAGTTTCCTGGGCAATTTTGACATAAATTGTCTTTTATAGGTTGAATTTTTTGTTTTGTGATGTCAATGAACACTCATTGACACTTTCGTAATGCTTGATGTAATTGAAACTTTGTAATTGCTGATACAACTATATTAGTGCCATTGAACAATACTGGTGTCAGATGCCTTCAAATAACACTCACTAATAGCACTTGCTTGGTAATAACCACCGAATAGTAATCTGTGTTTAGTGAATTACGATTCGCTATACTATTTATTTAGAGATAGAGAATAGTGTAGAAAGAGTGACCAATATAGTAATAGAGGATAGAATAGAAATGGTGATTGTTTAGATACCACACTAATTCCCATATATACATTTCCTTTACTATCATGTGATCTACTTATTTCAAATGGGATCGCCTGTGCTTGCTCTCTAGCAATCTATGTTCAAACTCCAATATTGGCAACAACACTTTATATTCATATATAACACTATAGCATTGTGTTTCTTAGGTGGTTTTTCAAGTGACGTATCTTCACATGTTGATGGATGTCATTCATGGTAGATTTTTCAATAATCACATTTTCACACATGGGCTTCAGGTGTTTTCTCATTTCCTTTTCTTTTGTGCATGAAATATATTTAGTACATTTGTTCTTCAACGAGATTTTATTGATGCTATGTTATTTGTCTTTTATGATCGAGGCTTGCAGTATTTATAATTGTTTTCTACAGTTTTCTGCTAAGAAAACTGAACAGATGAAAAATAAAAACCTTTTGCTAGTCTTTATATAATCTACTGCTCACTTATGCCCAATACGCACATACAAGGGATGCTTTAAAAGAAATGTCTCCTATTTATTCCATGTGCAATAACACAACTGGCTTTCTATAAAGTGTGTTATTTTTGACAGGTATTATGCTTATCTAAGAGTAAGCATGCTAAAAAGATGTTCATTTGAATTTTATCATCTGTGATTTGGCACAATTTTGTACATTTTTCATAATCATGACCCACATTACAGATATTTTAACATTAGGGCAGATGTTCCTTGGGGTTAATGGGACTATCCAGTAGGTCAATAAAATCCTGAGGTGACAAAAGTGGATCAATAAATAAAGTATGGTAACTTAAAACTAAAAATCACCAATTTCCAATCATGTATCAGTCCCCCTCATCAGAAACTACCCTCCCATTAATGATGTCAAACAATTCAATTAAAAAGTACATTATTTTGTTTTTAATGTGCTATTACCTATATTATTTTTAACCGGAGATCATGCATCATGGATCTTGTATATAAGTATAAAGTCATATGGCCTCAAACAAATGGCGCCTGTGGGTCAATCTAGGGGCTCGATAATTACCTGGGAGTTAAAAGGAAGTTAATAAATATATTGTGGTGACTTATGACTAAAACTCACCAATTTCCAATAAGTATCACTCCTCTTGCTACTGTTCATCAAACACTTCCCTCCTATTAATTATATCAACCGATTCAATAAAAAATTGTATTAATTTATTTTTTAATGTGTTTATTATGGCCTATAACATTTATGAAATTTTTATCATCAATAGTAGTAGTAATAATATCTGAACAAACAAAACTAGGATAAGAAGAGAAATTGAAATTGAAAAAGCAGTACCAAAACAAAGGTCAAATGAATCTAATCAAAAAACAACAATGATAGAAAAGGAAAAGGAATTTGTACCCTTAAATTAAAAAAAAATATTGTGTTTTTTGATTGGATGGTCATTCTGGGATCAAATATTCTATGAAGGGGTTAATGATATAATAATAAATAAATTTAAAAAAAAATGTTTGGTATCCCTACATTAGATTTTTCCAAATGGTCAAAAATCAACATTTGAAATGAATATATTGACACATTTTTCATCTTTCCAATATGCAATTGATGGAAATTCACTTTGCCTAGCCTGTTATCAAGATGTTTCACAAAGTTTTGAGATGTTTTTGCTATCAGCCTGCAAAATAGAATTCAGCCTGTAGCTGCTTCTGTTATATTTGCACAACCACTCCTGTGAAAAGCATGAAACTACTTCTCCCTGTATTTAATACTATCACAATTCAACTTGAGAAAATATCTAGTCAGTGACATGCCCAGATGATTGATTTAGTAAATTAGATGTGGGAACACTTGAAAAAATCAACCTCCATGTCTTAACTGCCCTGAGAGTAAGCATCATATATACAAGGAACAATCATTGAGGTTTTACCATTAGATACTGATACAATTGAAGTTTTAAACAAATTATTTGATCTTATAGTCCACAACCATGCACCATAGTTAATTGTGAACTCTTTTGAATGGCTATATAATGTGTATTGCTAGTTCTAAATACAGTTTTGAATTCAGTTGTTCTCCTAAAATTGTTTCCAACCAAGTAGACTGAAGAGAGGGATTTACCCTTTCCTAAGGGTATTTACACTAAAGTGGATGGAACAATGTCTGCTTCCCTTTCGAAGCCATTAACACATCCGACATACATGAAATAGTACAGGAAAATATGATATATATAAATTCTATATATCAGACCTAAAGGTAGGTTAGTGAATGTCAATGGAAAACATCTGACAATAATACATTTTGTTTTTGAAGAGGACTTCTTCAGAGTAAATGCTTCTATTGACGAAATCACACATACACGATATATATATATATATATATATATATATATATATATATATATATATATATATGAAATTTGACGCTTAGCTAATTGATGTTATATTCAGTACCTCAAACACGGACCCTTTTTTGTAATGGTTCAGTCTTCTTGTCAGGTGATATCTGGAATTGACTGTCGATTTTCTCATTTTTGTTATTTTTATATTAAATTAAAAAAAATTTTATATATAATCTATGAAAAACACATTTTAAATTTTTAACACTTTGTCATCAATTTTCCACACACAGATGCGCGCACACACACACACACACACACATATATATATATATATATATATATATATAACGAAAATTGATGACAAAGTGTAAAATAAAATTCAAGTGACTCATTTCGTCCTTTAGGATGTGATCTGACTAAAGTGATGCTTACATTGATGTAACTAAGCCTGTGTACGAAGGAGAGAAGATGCTGAAATATTAAACTTTTAAATTTAATTTTTTTTTTTTTTTTGTTTGGGTATATAAGTCTAGCCACTTTGATTTTATTTCTTTTTGTTTATATTTTTATAAAAGAAAATGAATCTAAATGAAATTGGCAAGAATAAAAAAAAAAAAAAAAACATTCCCTTTCCTTCATGTGCAGCTTCAGTTTCATCAATGTAATCACCACTTAATTTTTTCTCAAATTTGTTATTAATTTTCATAAAATTGTTCTGGTATATAAAAATGTATATATCATTTTCTCCTAAACACACACACACACACACAGCGAGAGAGAGAGAAAGAAAATATAAACAAATGGCAGTTGTAATTAAGCATAGATGCTTGAATTTAAATTTTAAAATGAAATTCTATTTATCAATCAAAGTATTTTTCCCAGGTAGCACAATTACCAGAATTTCAAGTAATGTTATTTATTTATTAGATCTTTACCTGTGCAATATTAAATTCTCTTACCATAGTGATCAACTTAAAATTTCAAATTCTTGCCCCAAATTAATTTTCATTACTTTTTTCCTATAAAATTAACAATAAGTAGCTGACTTGCATCTTTTTCAAGAAATACGCATTTTTCATCTTTATTTTTATTCTTCGATGTCTGCATCTGTCTCCAAGATGCAGCAGATGTGAGAGTTTCTGCTTGTTTGGTTGAACCAAAATAGTACTATAGACTTTTCCCTCCATCACCTCCTGATCCCAATTTTTATTTATTTATTTTTTTTTATCTTTCAAAGGGGTCATGAAAAAGACTAAGGCTGAAGACATTTTGTCTGCAGGTCAAGCTATT